AGACTTTCAGCAATAAAAACATTTTTGCTTCAAGTCAAAAATACCAGCTGTTAGTACTAAGTGCTAGGACAGAACTGCCAATTTGATCAGAAATGAATAATTCTGTTGCCCACTAAGTGACGAATATATTTTGACCCTTGTGAATGATAGGAAGGCAGGACCCCAAAGATGTATCATTATTAATATGCTACAAGTATTGGGCGTTTTACAAGTAAACCATGAAATTTAATCATTTGTGAATGTTGCATAGTCACTGGACAGATTATTGGTGAGTGATAAGGGCAGCTGAGTCACCAGTTAGAATAAGAATAACTGCATTCTATTCAAATCATGGTTTAGATGTGGCATCTTCAAGTACTTGTTAGATCTAAATCCTTTGATACCTTAATCTCTTGGATTTTTTGTAGATTGTGCTATAGGCGAACATTCATTCAACTTGTAGGCGTAACATTGCAAATGATTTTTAGTTAATGTTAAATAAAACTGCCAGATTAGCAAGTATTCTTTGTCACTGAATTAAATAGGTTTAGTTGTACTTTAAGAAGAATGAATGGAATTGAGAGGGATGCTCTACTTAAAGGAAAGTCAAAGTAAGGAGACTTAAAGCCCTGATTTGACTTGAAGTGATTATGTGGTCATGCAGTGAATCATGTTTTGTTTTGTTTTGTTTTTTTTAAAAAAAAAAAAAGGGAACAGGAAAAAGAGGGAGGGATTGAGAGAGTTTTGGTATTTTTGGATGTTGGCTACTTTGCTGGGTGGAGGGGTTTTTGCGTAGTCTGCAAGGTTAGATTTCTGTGTCCTGCATTTCTGCTGGCTCTACATTAGGTTAAAAACAGACCATGCCAGTGACTGTGTAAGCTGAGAATGACTCAAACTTATTTGTTGAAGTTTAATCTAAGTCAAGAAATGTGTTAGGAAAGAAGCAGAAGCGCAAAAATTGATCCATGGTACTAGTTCAGGCGGAGTAGCACCAGGATTAAGAAAGGGTTTATATATAAATGAGTTGCATCTCGGTAAATGCAACTGAAAGTTTAAATGACTTATCAGGAAGTTCAGAATCCAGAACTTTTAGATCAGCAGTACAGATAATTACCATTTGAGGTAGCAAGTCAAATGGCACAAGTATTTCAAAGTTGACCTGACAGGAGAGGTAGATATGATTTAAACTTTGTAGTAACCTGCACAACAATTTACCTGGTCGCCAAAGAATGTTGTGAATGAAATTCCTGTTTCTTTGTGGTTCTGTAATAGATGGAGAAAAGCATTTTCAGACATGGACACACATTCAGTTTTTCCACCTTTTGTGAAGGAGGGGGGATTTATTCCTTCTGCTACCTTTCTTGTTTGTAACTGGCAAATATACGAATGAGGAACGTTGCTCTATAATTAAAGTACATGTCTCTCATGGGCAGTGGGGAATGAATGATATGCCATTGTCCCACTTGCTGGGAGTGATGCAAAAACTGTGGTAAGAACTGAGATGGTCTTCAATATAGCTAATACCTGATGAGATCCAAGGTGCTGTGAAACATTATCAGTTGATGAGAATATTCTGAGACTTTTAGCAGCAACCTTCCAAAACCCTTTCATGGCATGTAGATGGTGTTTTTCCAGGCAGATATAACTTAATCAGACCTTAAATAGTTTTCCCAAGGCATCCATATGATTCTAGCTGATACATAGATTCCTTTTTCCTAAATGTGTAAGTTTTCAGTTATTGAAGTAGAAGTATTGTAGAGAAAATTTAGGTATTTTAGACAAGTATTGTTTTGCTGTAGGAAGGTGCGTGGGTACCTAGAAGTTTGTTTAATTTAGCAAAACTGGTAAGCATATTATTAAAATGAAAATTACTTGAGCACCAATTCCAACTGTAATCCTTACCTTAGAAAATCTTTATTCATCCTGTGTATATATAGAAAAGAGGTGTTCAGTTCTGTGTGAAATTACCACATAAATTATTCAGCAATGTTAATAATTGAAGTGAAAAATATATTAACACTCATTCTTAGTTTTCATCCTTCTGCAATTATGATTTTAACTACAATGTTTGTTATTAATACAAGTACATGATATTTTTCACATTATGAAGCCAAATCTGTGAAGTCTCTGGGAAATTTCAGATGTTGTATGACCAATCTTGTTGTGTCAGTAGGGTCTTAAATTTTGTTCCTTTAGTCACAGTTGTCGTATGATTCTTAAGTTATACAAACTTGGCACATTTAACATTTGTGCGGCTTGGTAAAGGATGTCATCAAGTTTTTGCTGCAAGAATAGATTTGGTGGGAGAGAATTGCTATGTGAGCTATTTAAAGAGTAAATGAGGAAGAATCTCAATTTTTAAAAGACCTTTCCTTAGCTAAAATTTTTGCTTTGAGTTTCTTGACACCTATTTGCCACTCAACACAGGAGATGGCTGCATATTATTTATTGAATATTTAACAGCTATAATCTTTTTGGCTGCTGTACACAGTATTATTTTTCATTGTTTTTTTCCCTCTAAACATTGTTTAGCATTTCATAGTCTGTTTCTTTCTTTTAGGGTGAACATATTAAAAATTTCCTTTAAAAGGAAAAAGTTTTTTATACAACAACGGCAAAAACATGTAAGTACTCATTTCATTTTGTTTTGCTCAAGTGTTCACGTTCAATTTTTTTTTTTTTCCTTCAATGTTAAGACAACAAAAGACTCTGTTTTGTTAACTTTCCTTTGAAATTCTGTTTTGTTAACTTGCCCTTGCTATTGTGGTCCTTTTATGCTTGCTCTGTTTCCCATTTTTGTTTCCTTTCCAGCATGGAATCTTTTCACATTCAGTCTGTTGGACTAGATCTTACTCATGCAGGTTTCTTCTCCCCTGGAGACTTGGGGGGAATGCAGATCTTCATCCTTTCTCCAGTATTTTGTAACCTAGCATATTCCCCTCTTCTTGCCAGCATCTGCTGCTCTTTTCTTTGATGCTCTCCCTGCCTAGTAGAGTGCCTCACTGCAGTGAATCTGCTAAACAGCTGCTTATGAGGCTCAGAGTTCTGGAAGAAAGGAAGGTACCTGGAGAAAAGAACAGGTCTGCAGCTGAAGGACATGAGGTTGGAAAGGGGGATAGTGCATCTCCTGCTGTTTATAACGTGGAGCACTTTAGACATTGGCAAAATATGTAAAGCTAGTTGACAAAACTGATGTACAATAGAAAATTTAAGAGTAGTCTTCATAATGGTGTGTGCTTTTTGCAGAATGGTTGTAATATTAAGCTATTTAATAGAAAAAAAAATCTTGATTACAGTATGGTATTGCCACAATATGAACACATTTGAGGAAGAGAGGAGAATATTTAATATGACAGGAAAAAATATGGAAATTAGTGACCAGCAGATACATAGATATTTTAATTCAGTTGAGGACAGAACTCAGATAGCAGAAGGTAAGTGTTAACTTAAGTGTTACCTAAACTTTACGAAGGCTCTTGTAGTAAATGAGTTCTTAAACTGCTAGGAGCTGTGTTACAAGACCTCTTGACCCTCATCGATTAGAGGGTCTGCTGAACACAAATAGATAGGGAGGCTTTTTTTACCCCAAAGGGAGAGTATTTTCATCTTTTCTTTTTTCTCCCACCGCCCCCTCCAATTTGGTGGGTATCTCCCAAATTTGAGGAGCGTGCATATATGTACACATTCTTAATTCTCAGGGCTCTTGCGTAAACAAAGTTAGTATCTAGAGATAGTGTTACTGCACTAATGCTTACACACATAGATGCACAAATGAAACTGTTTTCTCTTTTGAGAGAGTGTGTCCTAACCCACCATAGAGCAGTCTTAAGTTTTCTGCAAGCTGTAAGTTTCTAAATATATTGTTTATATGTAAACTTGTCTCAGTCTGTTCAAGTATATTTCACTGTATGAAGAAATGAGTGGTTGGCAAACCATTCTACTCGCTTGTGAGTGTAATTGTATTTGTATTACACTTGGTGTAATTGTATGACACTCACAAGTATTACCTTCTTCTAGGTCTGAGGATTAAAAATTCACTGGTAAGGAATCTTACTAAATTTGAAATATCTTCAAGTATACAAATATTGGCAGTTGACAGCAATTTCCAAATGTGTCCATGAGAATAAATGTAGGAACAGAACTCAGAGTGGTTAGTAAATAGATAGTGGATAGTAAAATGAGCATGCTTACAGTTTTTTTGGAATGTGGAGAAATAAAGTGTCAATATATAACAGTCGCTGGACTCAAAGATCTTGTAAAATATGTGTGTTTATTGCATAAAGACTTTACTGCTTTCAAAAGTTGAATTTCTTTTTCTGGAAACTTGTGTCACCTTTGAAGAGGGCAGCATTACTGAAATTTGTTCGATTAAGCTTTTGTTAAATGCTGACAATTCAAGGCCCTTGATTCTTTTGACTAATCTCCTCTTAAGTGATCATAGTTCTTTATTTCATAACCCACTGAGATTACAGTAATGCACACTGTATCGTGCTTAAAGAGCTACAGAACTGTAGGAAAAATAAGGCCAACCGCATGACCTTTTTACTTTTTCTCAGTAGATATGAAAAAGCAGACCAGGTGTGCTATTAAATCTCCAAACATATCCATCCTTGTCAGTTAGCCCCCTGTGCCTGAAATTTAGGGCAGCAAGTCTGCATGCCTGCAGGACTTCAGTGTTACTGCTTTGAAAAGCTTGCTGTCGCAGTGCAATGGGAGTGAGGGGGCAGCTGGACTACCAGGGGTTTTCTCCAGAATGGTGGCTTGCTTGAGGGGTTTGTGAGGGCAGATGACTGAGGTCACGTCGGTCTTTGGATTTATCAGATTTTTGCTAGGAAGCGCAGGAGTGAATAGGTAAATGAGGCTGAAAGTAAGGAAGGTGGAAGAAGGTGGGGAAAGCAGAGCAGATTCTACATATTAGTAGGCAAAATTTTACTAAAGATGGTGACAGTGCTATAACATTTCAGGGTTTTGTATGGCATGTAGATTTCTTTGCAAAAATCTACAGAAAGTTCTCAAAGGCTATGAATTTGCAGTCATCTGGGGTGTACCATGTTTCATTGATTTATTCTCCTTATTTATCTTACTCCTTTTTTCTTTCCTTATGCCCCTGTTCTGAAGACTCAACTTACCTTATCTCACTGTCTCCCTGCTACTCATCTCCTCTTTTACCCTCCCACTGCTTCAGTTGGTTGATTAGCTACTTGGTGGAAGTATGCAATATTTCTGTTTCTACTGAAGAGCTGCATAAGGACTGAGGAGCAAGACTGAATCAGTGAATGTCTGATGCTATAAAAGCTCATGATATGTAGACTTAATGAAGGGTGCAATATTTAAGGTAGGAATAGGAACTATGCTGGTTTACATTCAACATTTTAAAGCTTCCAGCAATTAAAATCCAGTGTGTTTGTCTAGTGCTTAAAAACAACTTCATTTTCTGCGTATTAAAATATGTTTTTACTTGCTATGCTGTAGATACTTTTAAATTCTCTGTGAATGGAATAGGCATATATCTGATCAAAGTTCTTCCCTGATGCTGAAATAGCAAGAGACTCACTTTACCTATTGAGAATTGTACCCTTTAGCTTAATGGTCACAAATTTCTCTAATCCTCATTTCTTGATAACAATTAAAATACCATTCTTTTGGAACTTGAGTTGAAAAGTATGATAGGCACTAGATCCTTGGTTCCCGCTAGAACGCTCTTCATATTTAAAATGGTGCATCAATTTAATAGCATGACTTGCAAGGTGGCCTATTAGTGAGCCATATGGTTTTGTTAACAAAAGATTTTGTTAATTTAAATATTGACTACGTTTTTCTGAAACTTCTGGAAGTATTTATCCTAGTATAAGTATCCTATAGTTAAACTTCTAGCCCACTTAGAAGCTGTTAAGAAGGTTCTGTGACAACGGTTAGGAGGAACGTACTTGTGGCTTAGAGAGCAAGATTCATTACTCTTTTCAAACCTTAAATTTAAATAAATTTAAAAGCAGAATATTAGATATACTTAATTCCTTATCTTTACACTATGGCTTTTCAGTATAATTGAGATGTTTGGATCATCTAATTCTTATAGCAACTGAAAGACCAGTATTCTAGGCTGACAAAAATAACTATACACTTCCTTTTATTTGTCTTCTGGAGTAGTGTAAAATGCTTCAAGTGGTATTCAGCCAACAGAGGGTATGTAAGAAATGCCATTTGGTGTTAAATCTTTAAGTGATGTATGCTTTTTATATTGCAAGAAATTCTGAGTTAAAATTTCACTATGCTTGCATACTTTATTTTATATAAGCTAATTAGAAGCAACTGTGGTGAACTGACAAAGATGAATTGGTTCTAGTGTGCATGAGGCTCAAATAACAAACCGTACTTCTTAAGGAAAAAAAAAAATTTTTTTAAATGTTTTCATAGATATAGGTAAAACATGCCTGAAAGATTGCAATCAGTTAATGTTTTGCAGTGCCTATGTACAATCAAGGGGCAAATCCTTTTTATCTTTCTCTTGAGATTCACGTTGGTTTTCTAAAATAGTGACTTCAGTCACAGATTCTCTGAACTAGTCATAAAGTGACTTGCAGAATGTGGCATTGATCTCTGATACATGGCATTTGTAAAATGTTGCCTAGAAATAAAAAGAATACAAGAAAAACAGGTTGATTATTCCAGCCAAAATGGTGTGTAGTTACTTCCCAGTAGGATCGTTGTTGTGAACAAACAAAAGGACGACGGCGACTAGAAATCAAGGTGTTATCCAGCTGGGACTATTTCTTGCTGGACAGCATAAGGAAGAGCTTTATTAGGTCTTTGAGTCCTTTAATGAAAAGGCTTTGCAACCCAAATCCTGACTTTCTTCAAAGTATGAGCTAGAAGGAGAGCTTTACTGAGATGGTTGCCTGCCTAATTGTATGCTGAGGTGTCAAAATTCAGTCATAATTCAGAGCAGCTGGAAAAGATGAGAGATGAAATCAAAAAATTCCTTTTGTTCACTGAAGTGCTGAGCTGTGATAGCAATTAGCTCAGGTCTCATGTTATCTTCCTTTCTTCTCTTTGCTGTATTCTTCATTGCACTTGCTTTGCATCAATATCTATATTAACTAACCAAAGCTATATCTTGTGCAAAACTCTCTTGGGATCTGAAATAGCTCAACAAGTGCTACAGTTGGCGAGGGCATAAACGAGGGTGGCACAATTGTGTTACACCTGTGTTTCACTGGCACTTTGGCACTGAAGTTACAAGTAAGAGTTTGCACCAAGGCGCACAAGCTTTGTATTCTGTTTCCTTTTGCTGTCCTCATTGTGGCCTCATGTTATTATCCAGAAAGCAGGACTGGATTTGAACAGCAGTAGCAGCAACTTCAGTCCCATCATAGCTATTTTCTTTCCCTCAAGATGGATCACTGTTAGTATCTTCTAAAAGACTATCAAGCAGATGCTTTTTTGCATACTATGGCTATTGAAAGAACATTATTGAATTGAAGCCGTATGTGAAGAGTTGGAATTCAAAGATTGAGTGGGTTTTTTCCTTTCTACATTGCACCCTTAATGGACTGTTAAAAAGAGTTTTATCATAGGAGATCAAGATCTGACTGGAAACCTGAAACTATATTTAGCTGTTTAATATTACGCTCGTATATACAAAATCTTTACCACTCTAGACTTAAATATTTCATTAACACTGTAAGGATTAGGAGTTGAAAAACTTAATTTTTCAGTATTGCTTAAACCTTTAAAGTGTCCATTTTAGTATTTCATAAAGTCATGGGGCTATTTTGGCCATCTCCAGCTCAAAATCTACTATAGCTGATTTTTTTGTTTTCCTAAATGCTTTTTGTTGTTGTTTTATGAGCTTGTTTACTGTGTTTGATCTGCTTGTATATATTGAAACATGGTATTTCCTACCATTACAGAATGAATCCAGAGAGCATATTGTTGCCTTCAACATGTTAAATTACAGAGCATGCAAAAATCTATGGAAATCTTGTGTAGAGCATCACACATTTTTTCAGGCAAAGAAGTCACTACCTCATGAAAAAAAGATATTGTCACATTATTGGACCCTGGGTTCTAGAAATCCAGCAAAGTAAGTATTGTGTGAAAGCATGTTTTGCTTTGTGATGGGAACGGGAGGATTTGTATCAGTGATAGCTCAAGTTGGAGTGGCAAAGTTCAGTTCTGCCCACAGATGTGTCCCAGTCTGTATGTGAACCATTTGACAAGTTATATAGCTGTGGTTTCAGTTTCTGCAGCATGGTGTCATTACAATAGAACTTTTCTTATAATTTCCTAAAAAGGTATTTGAATATAAGTATGTTTTACTGGTATTGTTTCAACTTGCTGTTTCAGTTTGAGATATAAAAACACTAGAAAGTAAAAATGTCATGTAGCTAATGATCCAATAAGAGAATTTGCAGAACAGATTTATTTTGAACTGTTTACCCCTTAGTGCCATATACACACTCTGTTTAATATGTTAGAGTAATTTCTGGAGTGTGTCATACCAACCACTTATTACTGACATCAAGATGAAAAACTTTGTTCCATCCAAGTATTCAAGATACCAGTTTTGTGACACTTCTAACCTTTTATTTGCCTCGTTGGGTTCTGCTAGCCATGGAGCTGGTAGTTTCATAGTGGTGTCTAAGATCTAGTTCCCCAAAAGTAATACTTCAGAGCCTGTCATTTTGCTGTATGAAGTTGGGATTGTTCCTTCCCATATGCACCAACTGGGCCTTATCATCATCAAACTTCATCTGCCAGTTTATCATCTAGTCACTTCACGTTGTAACGTCCTTCTGCATTTCTTCACAATTGACCTTTATTTTTGCCATCCTGTGTCACTAATATCTGTGTCACTAATATCTTCAGCAAACTTCGTTCACTCTTTTCTCTAGATCACTAGTGAATATGTTGAACAGAAGAGCCCCCAACAGATACCCCTCTAAGACTTCATTGCTGACCTTTTTTCACTATAAATCTAAAACATTTTTTCCTATTCTCTTTTATGTCACAAGTGAACAGGTAATTCCTCCAAGTGAGGACCCTATTCCCTAGCTCCTTAGTTTCTTTATGGGTTTAAAGGATGTTGTCAAATGTCTTTTTGAAATCTTGAGTAGATTAAACCACTAGTTTAAAGTTATACTCAAGTAGTTCTGCTGTTTCATCTTAGAGGCTTTTAGATTTTTTTTATAAGTATCAGTCCCAGTGATTTTTCATTATGTTGATTTGTTCTGTTTCATTTATCAGCAGTTCAGCTACAGATGTGTCATGTTATGTGTCATCATCATCTAGTCTGTGTCCTGTCCCTACTCCCACCCCTCCCCACCCCTCCTC